CACCTATATTAAATGCAAAATTTACATTTGATGATCATATTCGCTGTATGACAGCTAAACAAAATTTAATTAAAGGTCGTCAAAGGTATATATATATTAATCGTTTGAAAACAATAATTATCTATTTTTATTTTTAAAAGAGCACGTCAAATAAAATTATCAAAAATTGCATCTATACTCGAAATACAAACAACATCATTAAATACAATAAATCAATCAAAAATGTTTACAAATACAAATTATACTCAATATCAATTAGGTAAAGATTTTAATTTAACTGTTGTTCGAAATTGTCCAGTTAAATAATCATTATCTAAATCTTTTATTGATGATATATGTTTTATTTTTGCATAACGTAATTCAGTTGGTTTAATTAATGATGATTGAATATGATTATTTGTTTCAATATTTGATAATATAATTGATTTTGATTTTGTTGATTGTGCTAAATGCATTGTTGAATGTGTACGTCGACGATATTGACATAAACATTTATGATTTTTACAATTAAATTTTAAATTAAATATTGTTCGATGATTTGGAGAATTATTTTTATCATAATGTATAAATTTTTGAGAATATGAATTAATATTATAATTATCTTTATTTTTTTTATGTTGACGATAAATAATATAGATAAGAAATGATAATATTAATAATACTATTGTAAGAAGTATTAACCAAATAATTAAAATTTTTTTATTTGATGTTCGAAATGATTTTGGTAAAATATTTTTACTTAAATTTAATAACCAACGAAATATTTCAGGAAGTTTTCTTTCAGATTTAATTATAATTAATGTTCGATTTGTTGGTATATTCATTGTATAATTTTGATTTTGATTTGTATTATTAAATAAAATTAATTTTGATGTAAGTGGAATTATTGTATGTATAGATTCAGATTGAGAAGAATTTAAATTAAAACAGATTAAATATTTTTCAATTTTTTCACTTAACGCATAAAGATGTTCTATTGCAATTGGACGACGTTGTTCAATATGCCAAGCAGATAATAGAGTAATATTTTTATTTGTTTTATTTTTCCATATATCAAATGTTGATGATAATGCACATGTTAAATTTTGTTTTTTATAAATATTTGTTGTAATTAATATAATTGCTTTTGAACGAAAAAAACATTGTCGAGAAATATTATCAACATTTTGATTTTTATATTGTATTGGTGTTTGACATGTTGGTATTGGTCGACTAATTGAAAGTATTAAAACATTTGTACATGAACAATGCCAATGATTATAATTTAAATTAATTATATTTAATGATTGACGTGGAAAAATAGTTGATAAAATTTGTTTTAAATAATTATTATTTAAATAAAGTTCTTGTAAATATATTAAATTAATAAATGCTTTTTTACGTATAAGTATAAGACGATTATAACTTAAATCAAGTTTTTCTAATGATGGAAAATAATATGAAAAATTCGTATCTATTATACGTATTGAATTATGTGATAGATTTAATGTTTTTATACTATATAAAATTGGTGATATTGATAATGATCGATTAAAAATGACAGGCGATAAATGTGTAATATGTGCATATGTTATTGACATATATTCAAGATAATTCCATAATGTATATTGATCAAAATAGAATGTTTTTATTGTACAATTTTTTATTGTTAAAGATTTAATAATTGAATAAAAACGTTCATATTCTTGTAAATTATTATTATTATTATTTGTTAAATTACAAATTATTGAAAGTTTTTCAACATATATATATTCAATTGAAAATTTATTATAACAATTATAACATGTACGATATAATGTTGATGTACATGGTAAACAAGATATATTTAAAGAATAACTTTTTAAAATAAATAAATTTAATAAAATAAAAATAAAAATTTTCATTGATATTGTATCATAAATTGATTTGTTACAAATATAGAATAAGAACAGACAACTAATGTCTCACGATCTCACATCATTACTTATCGATTGATTAATCTGCATCGTAGATGTATATATATATATATATATGAATGTATGCATTTATTCACGCACACGCGTTTTATATCTAGTATCTTTGTGCATGACTATAAGTGTGACGAGCCAGATGATATTTTAATAGAATAAGAACTATTAAGATCGACAGACCGATATAAAGTAACTATCATCGAAGTGTGTCTATGAAAAAAAAAAAATTTCTTTGTATTCTGCATATGACCATAAATAATGTTATATGTGACCTGTCTCTCATAAATATGCGTAAAAATATTAATAATTTCTTTTCTTTTTAATAGGACTTACAACACCAGCATTACCAAATCATCCAGGTATATTATTGAATTCTTTTTAAGGTCTTCTCTAAAAATCTACTCTATAAAATAGATGTTTTTTTTTTGCTTTATTGCATATTTAGGGACGTCAGAGTTTTTTGAGGAAGTTTTTTTCTAGAAAATTCATGATTACTGATTGAATACAAAGTCCTTTTTCTGCATCCGAAAGAGAATATATCTATAGAAAATCGTACGAATATTTTGTTTTGGCGATTTGAAATCTGTTCAAAATTTATTTTCAGACCTTTTATAAAAGATGTCATAAGCATATAAAATATCATAATAAAATTTTATAAATTGTCTCTAATTTGTTTTTTTTTTTGGTTATTTATTTAAGGTCGAGCAGCATTAATTTCTGGTTCAAAACGTCATCCAGTTAGTCCAAATATTCCAATTACAAATCGTTCAATTAATTTAAATTCAACATCAGCTTCATCTCCAACATTTAGCAATATTGAACATATTCGAAGTTATTCTTTATCTCGTACTCATTCAGAACAATCATCAAATATAGGTAGTAATTCATCAATAGCATCAGCAAGTCGTCGTACATCAATGTCAGATGTAAAAGAAAAATCACGAAGAGGTTTAAAAAATACAAAACAATATTCACTTTTATGAGAATTTATTGCCTTTTCTTATTAGGTAATTCACAATTTACTAGAACACCAAAAAGTTTACGTGAATGGCATGAAAAACCAGTTAATCTTCTTGAACAACCATATCTTATAAAAAATGTTAATGTTCAAATTCTTTCACCAAATAGTGATCGAGTAAAAAAAAAAAATTTGAATAAGAATTTGTTTTCTAAATATATTAATGAAAACAAAAATGTTTTTTTTTGTTTTAGACACATTCGTCTTTCTTTAATAACAATGAAAATTTTAAATCCGAAGAAAATTTAACTACTGAAATTGAAAATAATGATAATTCAACAATACATATATTAGATGTAAATGAAAATAAATAAAGTTGTCTTTCTTTTTTTTTTATTTTTTTTTTATTCATGCTGTTCATAAAAAATTAGAAAAGATAAAATTGTTTTTTTTTTATTTCTATATGTAATTCAATTTTTGTGCATTAATTCAGAGAATGTAAATGCAATTCTTTATTCACTTGATCATAATTATTGAACAAAAATAAAAATAAAATGTTATTTTAAATATAAATATTTTGAAAATAATAACAAAATCATATTGATCAATACTCAACATTTATTTTATTTGAAAGTTAGAAAATTTTTCTTGAGATATTCAATTTTTATCAATTAATTTTTGAAACATATTAAGATAATAAAATCAAATATCATCATTCGACTTTTATATTTTCTTGTCTAGATCTCAGACAAAACAAAAAAAAAAGTTCTTAAAACTGAGAGTATCGAGTTTTCGAATATCATCTTCAGCAAAAAAAAACAAATCTATGAAAAGAAAATCATGTGATATGGACATATCTCTCGAGACCTGGACATAATAATCATATAAAAAAAACAAAAGTTTAACCTGGATATCATTGATCAAAATACATTATTTTTTATAGGGTATTGTTTGATATATGACAAAATCATCTGTCGAATTTTTGTATGAAAATATTTTATTATGATAGATGTGTATGTTGTCTTATCATAATTCAACTCATTTTTTCGACAGGTTTCTTTTATTGTATTTTCGGTAAATAATAGTTTTTGTAAAAGTACATTTTTTAGCTATTCATCTTGTTAGATGATGCAAAAAAAAAAGAATGTGAAAGGTCAAAACGAGTCATTAGTTGTTTGTTTTTTTCGCCTCTAAATGAGAAAATTGCTATGATTTAGCAGAAATTCTTCTAAGTATAAACAATATCTATCAATCATCGGATAACAGAATGATAATTTCTATGATCATTCAGATGAATCTATGAATGATATTATTCAGTAATGGCTTGCAGCAGTTAGTATTAGGAGTATGTCATGATTTTTGTTTGCAAAAAGAAAATATCTTTCTTCTAATAGGATATAAAATGAGTATTTAAGTTCTGTTTTGAAAAAAAAAATACAAATATTCGACGATTGAAGGTATGTTACACTACTGCTAATAAATATTAATAGAAGATGAGACAACATATATAATTTTAGCTCATTAATTTCTTGGTAAAAATCGAAAGATATGTTTTCAATAGAAGAGATCAATCTTTTTAAAGATCATCCTTCTGTGTTTACATGCAAACTCTATTCGATACAGTTAAATTTGAATATATATAAGTCAAGAAAATCATCTTAAACTAATTTAGCAAACTATTAGTTACAGAAACATAAGTCGATATCAATGATTTACAATATTTTAATAATTAAAAATCTTCTGGTAATATCTATCGAGACAACGGAAATCCTTTGACAATGCTTTCAGATAAGAAACCAGATGTAAAAATGCTAAAATCTTGTATATATTATTAGCGACATCTAGATAACACATTAGAACAATAAAAATATCAATATTTTTCTTCTTGATCATTAATAATATTGAATATATGATATAAAAGTTTGTAAAACATAAAAGATCTTCAAGGTAAGACAATTGGATATTAAATTTAACCACAAAAATCATCCGATTGGTTGAATTATTGATTTTCTTTTTTTTTTTTTTCTACAACAAACAAAATTGTTTTTTTTTTTCACACATCAATTTTATTTTCATTCTTTATTATACATATTATGAATTTATCACTTGATACAATTTTAACAAATGCACGTGAACTTGTTTCTCGTTTACGTCGTGATGATGCCACAGCTGATACAGCTGTAAATCAAGCACAATATGTTCAAGAAAGAATTCTTAGTATGAAACAGGTATGACAAAAAAGATTTTTTCATAAAAAAAACTAAATTTTATTTGTTAAGTATGGTGATGATCTTGCTGAATTGAATGATATTAGTTTACATCGTCCAAAAACAGATATACTTTATAATATTCAAAAAGAAAATCGTCTAATTAAGTAAATTAAGTTTTTTTTTTTTTTGGTATGTATAATTTATATATATATATTTATTTAATTAGACAATTACAAAAAGAGAATGAAGAACTTAAACAATTAGTAACTGAACATCGAAGTGTATTAGAAAAAATAATGTATAAATATCGACAACATATACAACAATTAAAATTAATGGAAGAAAAAGAAAAAATAGCTGTTCAATTATTTAATGCTGGATTAGCACAAGTAAATAATTAAAATATTAAATTTATAATTAGTATAAATTAATATTATTTCTATATAGGTAGTACTTATAAAAAAAAAAAAGAAAGAAAGAATTGAATACGAATTTTTTTTTTGCTTATATTAAGATATTATTAGATTGCATGAATGATTATGTTTAGCCTTGAGATAAAATTGATATAATCAAAAAAATTATTTTTTTTTTTTCTTTATTTCTATATCTTATAAATAATTAATGTAATTGAAATTGAAATTGATTTTCTTATCTTAACTGTCTCTCTCTCTCTCTTCTAGTATATTCTTATTTTAATTTAGGAAGTTCAAGAAAAAACATCAAAAATTCAAGAAATGGCATTAATTATGCAACGTGCAATTGATATTGATGATACAAATAATGCAGCACAAGAAGAACGAATAAATGCACTTTTACTTGAAAATCGAGGTTTAAAAGAAATTCTTGCTGTACATGAAAATATGCATAAACATAAATCCATAACAACAACTTTACCAGAGGTATTAATTTTTGTTTTTCTTCATCTTATGATAATAACTTAATCATAGATATAGAAACGTACGAAGGAATTATTCGAATTCGTAAAGAAGAAAATAAAGATTTTATAAAATTGTACAATTTTCAATATATTTCGAATTCATCATTCAGAAGTTCTAGGTAGTTCAGGTGAACAAGGTTGTTTGATAAAAAAAAATATTTTCTTTCACACTTAGAAAATTGATTAAATAAACTTTAACCTATATATTAGAAACCAGGCATTTTTGTCTTCTCTTTCACATAAAGATGTTACTATAACCTTCACATATAATAAAGAGTACTACGGCCACTTTTGAATAACCTTAAGTAATAGAGTTTTAATAGAAAATTTTACTCATAGATAAAATAAAACTCGATTTTTATGTCAAACAATTATTTGTTAAAACTTCACTATTCCGACAAAGAAATATAAAACTTTTCATTATGTCTCTATATTGATATAAAATCTATCTATGCTACATATCGTTTATCATAAATTTCAATATCATCTTACCTTAATATTTAATCTTTTTGAGTTGTCTATGACTCGATATAGAGTTATATGACTATTGCATGTTATATTAGTTAACATAATTTTTCTATTTCTACTCAAGCATATGATTATAAGTATGTTAGTACAAAAAAAAAAACATATTAACTTTATGAGAGTATATAAAATAACTTCATTTACTTTTTCTAGGTTGTTTTGTAAATGTTCATTGAAGTAGATTTAATTATATTATCTAGTTGAATGAAATTCATATAGCATGCATCAATTAAATAAGCTTGAAATATTTTTTCTTATTACTAAATAATATCTAGTTAAGATTTATAGAATCGATAAGGCATTTTAAAGTTCTTAAAGTCTCATTAATCGTGATTGAGAGAGAATATTTTTTTTTTGATAAGTTGAATTCTTCAAATTTCTATTCAAAAAAAAAGACATACGGAAGTATAAATTTTTTATATCCGGAATATAAACTTGAGTTTTTTTTTTTTTCTATTATTATTTTCTTGAATAATAAATTTTTTTACTATAAAATAACTTCTGTAGAGAGAGAGAAAGAGTTTGTAAATAAAAATGACTAGTCGTACCTAAATTATTATTTTTTATTTTTTATTTTTAGTCTACTACTATTGAATCTTCAGTTGTTCAATCAAATTCTCCTTCTATTACATCGGAAATAAAAACTACATATTCATATCAAGAAACATCATCTTCATAATGAAAATTTTTCTTGTTTTTATTCGCTATCATTCCAGTTGTATATTTTTTATTTCACTCTATAATTGTTTCACGTTGTTTGTCAAATCCTTTTCTAAATTCTATCTAGTCGTGTTTCACAACAACAACAAAAAACCAGCTTATTATTTTTTTTTTGTCTTCTACTTATGCGTGTTTAGTTTGCTTCAGATCTATTAAAAGAAAGATAAAAAAGACCAATCAAATCAAAAGACATTTACAAAAACAAAAAAGAAAACAATGTGTAAGATTAAAACTAATTCTTTAGAGTTTTTTTTTTTTTTTTTTTAATAGAAAAATTAGGTATAAATTTCTTTTTCTTATTAGATATAATATGTTGTTTTTGTAAAACATCGTTACATTTGAATTATTTATAAAGGTGAATATGAAATAATTATGCGTACAGCAAAATTATCAATAGAAAAACGTTTATTTGAGTGGGAAGAACAACAACCAAAGGTAACCTATTATTGTCCTTTTGTTTGATATATTTATAGAGTCAATGATTAGTCATTCTTATTTTAATTAACTATTGAATTCATTTTCAATTCTTATACGTATGTGTGTGTTTTTTTAATTTGTTTGCTCTTGATAATCTTATTTTTCTGATAGTAGTTATAAAGGAAATTAAAATCTAGAATAATAACCATTGAAAGAACATAGTTAGAGGTCAAACGGATGTGTTAACATTTATTTCATGATATAGTATAAATGTGTTGACATAATTAACATAAGAAAATTATATTTATCGATTTTCTTTTTTTTCTATATATTTGAGTTTCTTTTTGAGTATTATAATTAAAGAATATTGTTATAAACGATATGTAACGCCTTGATATTGATAGAACAATTATTATGAATTTTTCTCTTCAGTTAAATATTAAACATAATACTGATTCGGCTTTATTATGGACACAAAATTTTATAGTTTTAACGATTGGTGCAATTCTATTATCTGCAATTGTAACATTTTTAGCCGTGGTAAATAAATTAAATATTTCTTTTGTTCGACCAAAAAGCAAAATTCTTCATTTATATCAGTTGTTGTGGCGTTCAAGACAACGACGATTATTAAAAACTCATTGTGAACCATCGGAATCAACTCCATTATCATTGGTGAATAATGAAATATTAAGACCAAAAGAAATAGTATTGTATCCTATTGTACCTAAACTTGTTCAATTTAATCCAGCAGATATTAATGAAAATTCATATGTATCAACAACAGCAACAAAAAAAATTCGTAAAAAAAATCTTTTACAAAGGTAATTTATTTATCTTTTTAATATTGTTGATTAAAATAAAAATTTATTCAATGTATAAAAAGTTTGAAAATCTGTATCAATAAAATATGCCTATATGTAGGCGTTTTTATTCGTAGGCATAAGTAAATAAAAAACATAGCCTAAAAAACAAAAAGAAAAAAGAAAGAAACGGAAGACATTATCTAATGATAAGATATTTTTTTTTCTATCACCTATGTAATAATATTACGGTCGAGTGATCAATACAAAAAAAAACGTTAGAACAAAAATATTTAACTAAAATAATAACGCCTAAGGTTATATCCTTTTTCGCTCAACTTTGATTACTCATATGATAACAATACTCCTTTGTATTTGCATTAACGACGGGGGTGTATGTCGATTATCATACAGAGAAATTATTTAGGTTTTACCTCTCATATATATATGAGTAATTAACATAGGATCAATCTATTAATGTAATGTTATAAATTAGATAATTTACAAAAATATTATATCATATTTCAATAGACATAAATCCGATGGAAGTTGAGTCTCCAACTGTTTGTTACTCATATTGGAGTTTACCAGCATCTCGCTTATTAAAACGAAGGTTGGTAATTTGATTATTTATACTATCTAGAGATTTTATTTACATACATAAAATAACAATCATTAACATTTTTCAAGTCTATATATATATATATATATTAACATAAGAAATAGAATTCTGTATAATTAAAAGAAATATTTTTTTGTTTTTAAGAAGAGGCAATAATAATGCATTAACAATATCAATAAATTCAAAACATCGTCTTCATAATAGTTCACCAACTGATTGGTAAGTAAATAATTAATATTAGAAAAAAATATATTAAAATTAATTTTTTAGTTCATCTGATGAATATTTACAAACAGCAACACGAAAATTAACTATTGATGAACTTCATCAACATGCACAAGATACACGTTTACTTTATCAAGAATTTTGGGTATATTAAATAAAATAAATAAATATTATTATTTAGTTTATTTCATTTAGTCAACACCAACAAATCATCTTGAAAAACTTCGTATTTGTGGTACTGGAACAAAAAATCGTTATTGTACAATAATTGCAAGTATAAAATTTAATGAATTTTTTTTCTTCTTTTTTTCATTGAAATAAAAATTTTATTTTTTCTTAGATGAACATTCACGTGTAAAATTATCTGAATTATCCGATGATCCTCTTTCATCTTATATCAATGCAAATTATATTTATGGTTGGCCAAATGAATCTCATGCATATATAGCTACGCAAGGTCCACTTTCAAATACAATTATTGATTTTTATCGGATGATATGGCAAGAATATACACCTGTAATTGTAATGATTACTCGTTTATTTGAAAAAAATAAAGTAACAAAAAAAATTCTTGTTTATAAAGAAAAATTATTTTTTTTTTATTAGTCAAAATGTGAACGATATATTCCAGATATTCAAACAAATCAATATGGTCCATTTCATGTTGAAGTTAAATCAATAAATTATCAAAATGATTATGAAATACGAAGATTAATTATAAAAGTAAAAATAATTCGATATTGATTTGATAAAATTTTTCTTTTTTCTAGTATGAAAATGAACAACGTGAAGTTGATCATTATTGGTATACAGGTAAAGAATTTAAAAAAAAAAAAAGTGAAAATTTGTATTTTGAAAACAAAAAAATTAATTATTTAGCATGGCCTGATCATTCATGTCCGAATGTTATACAACCATTAATTGAACTTATTCATAATGTTGAAAAAAGTCGAATTGATTTATCTAAAATAAATAAACGATCTGGTCCTGTTGTTGTTCATTGCAGGTATTTGAATCATTTTTATCTATAAATTACAAATCGATTCAATAATATAATTAGATAGAAACAGAATGCGTATAGTACATTGTATCATTCTATTAATAATATGTTACAGTAACCTTTTTCACTGCACTCTCTACCTTGTAGCTTTGTGTAAGAGTAGGTCATCAATAGACGTGACGAATACTTGTATTATTGGAAAATAATTTTTTTTTTATAAGAAAAAAAAAACTAATCTCTAGTTATATGATGATCTTATGTAAAGATATTGTTTCGAATAATAATAATTCGTTAATAATGTCAAATGGTTATAGATATGAATATTTCTTGAAAAATTTTCATTCAATAGTAGATAATTAGATTTAAGATATGACAAAAAAAGAAATTTTTTTCTATAATTTTAGTGCTGGTATTGGTCGTACTGGTTGTTTTATTGCATTAAGTAATGGTATAAAACAATTAAATAAAGAATATGCTGTTGATGTACTTCGTATACTTTGTAATTTACGACGAGATCGTGGTGGAATGATTCAAACTAATGATCAATATCAATTTGTTCATCAAGCATTAAGTGAATATGCACGACAATTACAATAATATAGTTTTATGATTGATTTTAATTTATTTTTTCATTTTTGTTTTTTTTTTTTACATATAACTTCTGTGAAAAGGAAAAGAACAATAAGTCAAGTTCTTTTTTTTAATCCGATTCTTTGTATATATATATATATATAAATAAGCTTTAATGTTTGTTTTTGTTTCGTATAAACCAAAAAAAAAGAGTTTTTGTTTTATTTTTTTTTGCGATAGTTACTTTGTACAAAAAAAAAAAAACAATGTTTACACATTGAATGAACATTTCATTGTATAATATCAAGTTCTCTCTATATGTCTATCTATGGAGTATAATAATCTGTTGAAGAGTATGAGTTTTCTTTTATCTATGACGATCAAGTTTCAAATATCTTGAATTAATTTTACTGATTAATATTGTTTATTCTGACGAAATATTATATCTCATGTTTGAAATTTTACTTGATGGATATTTCATTCTAAGAAAAATAATCAAACGTCTAATCAATACAAGATTGAAAATTTTTCATTGTTAACACGCAATTAACATCAAATATTAATCTAACATAGAATACTTTAGATGAGAATTTAAATATTTTTTGCTATGATTTGCTATAAATCGTAATATATCTCTAAGCAGGTTCTTATAAAAAGTTATCTTAGTTCTATTGATCACCCATATAATTACCTATTGGAATACAGACTTATACTTATCTTCCATAATCTACTAATAACTATAAAGAAAGGTTTCTTTTTTTATTGATTTTATTTCAAGAGCATAAAATGAATGATAAATTACAAACAAAATATTTAAGTTGTATATAAATTCATTTTTAAGAAATAATACAAGCCATTGATCGTAATATTGCTTCTTGTCTTTATCCTTCTGGACTAAATCGAAATGCTAATCTCTGCATACAAATTGGTTTATATGCCATAATTTTTTTGACTTATCGTGATCGACCACCAATAACAATTGATTGAACAATCATTAATCGATTTTAAACTTGACCAATTTCATAAAATTGATATCTGATACATGTGGCTTACTTTTCTGATGTTTTCTATGCTTAATATAGCACAGTCAGATTAAAGATAAAAAAAAACTATTTTGAAACTCCAAACAAATATCGATTCTTTCGAAGCGAACAATTGTAGCAATTATTTGAATAGTTCTTCCAAGGTCTATTTCATTAACAAGAACAATAAATACTTTTGTCTTGTCTACTGTTGGTTCATCTATATGATGAACAATTGAATAATAACATTCGTTTGCATCGTATTAATCATTTTCATTTGCGTTCAAGTAGAGAGAACAACTCATATATTCGACATACTTGATCAATGGTGGGATGAATGCTTAAAGAATTCTCTTCATCCTCTATTTCACCTTCTTCGGTCAATCCTTGAGTCATCACTCTCACCTTGAGTCAGAGTGGCAATCAGTAACTGTAAACGATCATCCTGGATTTTCTTTTTTTTGAATTTTTACTTGTTTTGTTGTCGCAAATCATACAATTTCTATTGATATCAAGTTATTTTATCAAAAAAAAAAAAACTAATTATTCAGTATTGTAGCTCATCATTGATTTATTTTTGAAGCCTACTTTTTAGAGTATATATTTTTTTCACAAATATAATATATACTAAAGTAACTATAATGTGAAAAACAGATTAACTATCCAGTTAGTTCATACATGATGACTACTTGCACTATACTATCCATTTCATTGAAGAAAGTTCATGGGTCAAGGTGATTTTGTATAGGCATGAGAATCCACACTCACACCCTCGAAAATATAGATAATTGATAGGTTAATATATCATAGAAGTTAGAATTAATAATCAACTATGTGAAATAAAAAACACGAGCTTGAGGTATGAAAAGAAATATCCATATCTTATAATATAACTTGGCGGAAATTCGATCATAAAATTTCGATGTTTTACTTATCGTTATTATCGGAATATAAAAGAGAAATTTCTCACTGTGCTCTTCTGTCCAAAAGAAAAACATGGTTTTGACATCATTCTGTCAGCGTCATTAAATACGCAGGATTATTTAATCTTAAAAAAAACCGCTCAAGTACAAAAATATAATATACTCAACATAGAATTTAAACACAGAAGAGCGAAATATATCTCGATTAAATTTATAAGCCCATATAGTTGAAATTAATATCAGTTAGAATTAAAATACTGTATTAATGAATTCCGAAAACATGTCAAGTAATTTTTAATGAGTATCACTGTTTATCATTGATTTTGGATAATTTTGAATAGGCAAACAATCACCAGGATTATAAAGACTTCGGCCAATATTTAACATTGACAAAGTTGGATTCATTTTCCATGCATTATTTTTGAATAGTTCATTCATTGCATATTTGATCAAATAAATTTCACTTTCACTCATCGATTTTTTATCATCGTGATAGTCATCATTTCGAGCATTGAATACTCCAGAATTAAACTTAAAATTCTTGTCATGCAATGAAAATCCTGCACCAACAAATCGGTCATCTGGTTCAATTCCGTAAAACCATTTAAATAAACTTCCGTGTACTATTCCTTGATTGCTTATTACATGTTCAATATTTTTTGTCGCTTTAATCAGAATATATCCAGTACGACATCGATGTCCATTTAGTTCAAACATCTGTTTGTTGTCAAAAGAGTAAACAATAAGACCTGCCATATTTTCATTTTCATCATATGAATCCGAAGAGCATGAGATATGAACAGTTTCAATTTTGATAGTAGGTCGAGTAGGGTTTTTTCGACTGATGATTTCCAAGGGAAAACCGCGCGGACCTAAGGTTGCGAAAGCAGCACGTGATAAGTTGGACTTAACCTCGATTTTTGTATTATGATGGAGTTCTTTTGAAAGATCGTTAACAGACGTAATCTTTTTACCATTTACAGTAAAAGTGTAATTATGAACATTACCCAGCATATTTGTTAGCATATCGACAATATCTTCACCTGGATCAACAGTTACAACGTGTTCCTCATCTTCTAGAGATACAGTGATGGTCTTGGACATTTTTTTAGAGTGTGCAAAAGAATGAATAATATCTACAATAGTATGAAAAATAAACGAGAAAGAATGAATCAGTCTACATTAGCTAAGCGTGAAGTGTGGATGGATGTGAGTGTGCACTAAAAGAATAACCACACCCACATTAAAACTTTATAAAACCTTAAGAAGGTTTCACAGGTTTTACGATGCCTCAAGGAAGTTTCAATTTCTTTTCTGTTGTCAAAGTCTTCTCAAATACGTTTTTTTTTCAGTGCTTATTTCAAAACTTCTCACGGAGATTCAAAGAAAACGATGTGGTCCCAAAAGTTGTTAAGCCGTAAATCAGATCGAGTGTCGGTCTAGGTGAGAATATATTTTTGGCAATGAGCAACACCAACATGCACGTCCTAAGATTTGTATTCTCATTCAGATGAACTGCTGTAAAGTCTAAAGCTTTTTGCCTTCACTCTGATGACGTGATTTTCTTATAGGAAGTTATTTGTCATCACCTTCGCTTATGGCTATTTGATTAGAAGGATAGTGCCGTAGTTTTCACTTTATATTATGTGACTAGAATCCTTATTCTCTCATGGTGAGGTATAGTTGTGTCGTTCATATGTTTGCCGCATCTTGATGCAATTATGTAAGAAAATAAGATAGTACCCTAATTACTCGATTATTGTCTCAGAAATTATGCCAGATAATTAATAGAATAGTGCAAAAAAAGGAATCAAAAGAATTATATAATTTAAAGACAACATATATAAGATGGAAATTCATAAAAAAAAATTCAACTTATTTATAATGATTGCAACAAGGTAAATTCACTAGACTCGTGTTCAACAAATAGTTATCAATTAATTGAATCAAGGAAACTCGGTTTTAGGTATCGGTTTGATGATGTTCGTCGTAATCTTTACTAATCAGTATTCCAGTTATATATTAATTTTGTTTATGATGTTTAAAATACTCTTTCTAGTTTTGCGAATTGATCTAATAATTTACTTATCAAAATCAATTTTAACGAAGGAATTTCACCAATGATAGTTTCGAATTTCGTTGAGTTTCGTGTATGTAAGATAGGTTTCTTGTTTGTCGAACGATTCGTTTGTTATCTTTGCATTATGCCCACATTATACACTCTTTTTTTGCTTGTTTTTGTCTCTTTCTTTTCGTTTTTCTTTCTCGATTCTTTTGAATTACATACCTCACTTAGAAGGATTGCACATAGCAACAGCAAAACAGTCAAGGTAAAGACCACAGGACAACTGGTTATAAACAAGAAAAAAATTCTCATTTTTACAAAGAAATTGAGTTAATAGAAAGAATAAACAGCACTATTTATTGCTCTATGATGTGTAGAAATTGGTGGCGTTTAGAAACTAATAATAACTTAAACACATAAACTCCTTTGGGGTACCGATGAAACAATTTAACTGTAGAAAGACAAAAGAGTACGACTATTCTAAAACTAAGTTTTGATTCTATTTGATTTATAAAGATATGAGATTTAGACAATTATGAATATCAGACATCTTTTCTGTAAGTTAAAAAAAAAGATAATTTTCAATATTATTGATATTTTTTGAACAAAAAAAAAGCAGAAAAAATTGTTTCATTGGTGTTCATTAAGAAATGCAATTCAAAAATAATTTACATTATACAAAAAAAAACAGATTATTTACTAACGAATACATGTAAAAATAAAATAATATTCTAGGATAATTAAATATAAAACGAAATGATGAATGTGCTACCTATTTCGAGTTCTAGTCACTATTATTAAGATCTTATTGATTACATTTTGTCAACTACGAAGGCAGAAGAAAGGTTTTTTTCACAAAGGTACCTATTCAAACATATTCTGAAGTTTTCCTTTGATAACATCTCGAAAGAAAAAGAAGTTGATACAAATGAAGAACAAACTTGAACTGAATCTCTAATGATTTTGTCATAAGCCTATCAGATATATTAGTTGAAAAGTAACTTAAAAAATATCACG